TCGGTTCCTTAGGTAAACTATCTTCTTGGATGCATCCAAGTACACCCATGTAGTACCATCCAAGCAAACCAAGCATCATGTCTTCTCTTTGATCTGTCCAGACAAAGCAAACAGCGCGGGGTAATCATTGGTAGTAACAAATATTATTGCTCTACATATGAAGTCCTCCTTTCGGAACGCATCGTACATCTGCTCCCCATGCCTCCATAGCCTCTCCATTTCTTGCATCAAGGGCTCGAGGAACACGTCTATATCAATGTCTGGTTGTTTAGGGCCAGACATAAGAATAGTGAGGAGAAGGTACTTTCTCTTTTGACACAGCCATGTTGGGATGTTGTATATGGTCAAGATCACTGGCCATGTGTTGTGGTCGCTCATCCTCTCATTAAAGGGATTTATTCCATCGGTGCTCAAGCCAAACCATACATTCCTTGGGTCATCGCTGAATTCTTTGTGCTTCTCATCAAACCTTTGCCACTGACTACAATCAGCCGGGTGTGCAATCTTATCATCATCCACTTTGCGCTCATCATCCCACCATGTCATAAGTGCGGCTTCTTTAGGGTTTAGGAAGATACGTCTCAAGCGGTCGGTCACTGGCAGGTACCACATTACCAGGGCAGAAATTCTTCTCTGCTTTGCATCGTTGCCTAATGGAGTGTCCTCTGGGGGCTGAGATTCTTGTACCACCTTTTTGGTACCCTTCTTATTCCTCTTTTTTCCCGTGGAGGGTTCAACCCCACCGTAAAGGTCATTGTTCTTGTACCGGCTGGCCCCACACCGAGGACATTTATCCAGTGACTTGAACGTTTCGCCATGAAAAAGTATACAGTGGTTGGGGCATGCATGTATTTTTTCAACCCCCATTGTCAATGGACTTCTGACCTTCTTCGCTTGGTATGTGTTGGTGGGAACTGAGTTTGGTTGTGGCAGCACCCATGACAGGAGATGTAATAGATCATTGAAACTACAGTCTGACCAGCCGTACTTAGCCTTCAGGATGAGCAGCTCAAGCACAAAACGTAGCAATGTCCAATGTATCGGACAACCCTTTTCAACACCATACACAGTCTCCTTCGATGCTTTTCACCTTTTTCAAATTTTATAGACCTTTCGGGCTATTTAGTAAAATCTCTGGTCAAGGGCTCGAATCATGTCCTCCAAATCATCTTCATCCCTGACACGTGCTCCACCATCATTATTGGCACCACCTTCGTCGTTACCATCCCAACCACCAGCATCACCACCTTATTCATTGCCAAACTCGAAATCCATTCGTGCATCAAGCTCTGTTGAATATTGGGATAGGGATTCTATGGTTTCGTCGTCGTATTCCTCCTCATCCTCGTCGTTAACAATAACCGTTTCACCATGATGAATCCACACTGTGTAGTCCTCAACAAATCCTCGCATAATCAAATATGATCTGATGATAGTCACATCTGTCCATGCCATACGGTTCTTGTAATCTTTACATGGGCAAATAATTGTATCCTTATTCTCTTTCAATGTCGTTGCATGCTTCTTTGCGGCTTCAATAAATTTATCCATCTCTTCACGAAAACCTGCCTTGAACCTTAACGAACCATACATCCAAGAGTTCATGTACTCCATCTTTTACAACAACAACAAAACAAACATTAAAGGAGTACTTATTCAGATATATATAAAAATGAAACAAATTAATAATTACTTGAGAATAATTGTATATACTTCAGATATATATGAATATAAATCTAATATAATTACATGAAGCATACAAACACACCATGGTAAAAGAAAATTAATTAACGGCCCATTTATCCATAAATAATTAAAATACATATTTATTGATTACAATAAATAATTTCAAAGACAACAATTAGCAACAATTATACTTTACCCAATATCTTTTATACAAACTCTAGTCCAATTTCATCAAACATAAATTTACAAAAACGAAATTAATAAAAAAACCAAACCCTAGATCTAGATCCACATGCACATGAAACATCCATAAAACTAACTAATTGTTCACTAAAATTAAGAAACATGGACCAAATAAGGGTATGATCTTGTTCCCCTCCCTAATTTACCCTAGTACATTTAAAAGTTGGGTCTAATTTGCTTCATAAATAACTCAAGCACCATAGAAGAGAGAGAAAAATAAAACTCTAATTACTCACTAACCAACCATTAAAACTTCAAAAAAAGTATGGAATAGCATTTTCTTACCTTCTACAACCTCTTCACCAAAGGATTTGAGACCAAAACCTTCCCCCTTAGTAGAGCAATTTTTAGGAGGTGCCCAAGGCATCCCCACCTTTCTTTCACGGGTTGGAGTGAGTGACCCGAGAAGGAAGAAGGTGTTGCATCTGTTTTATATGGGGGGCATTTGTAGGGGCGGCTGATGATTGAGCCGCCCCTACAAATCGGTGCTATAAATACGGGGCCATTTGTAGGGGCGGCTCAATCACCAGCCGCCTCTACAAATAGTATTTCCAGGGGCGGCTGGTGATTGAGTCGCCCCTACAAATCAGACCCCATTTGTAGGGGTGGCTCGAAACACCAGCCGCCCCTGCTGTTCCATTTGTAGGGGCGGCTGACGTCTGGGCACCCGAGCACGCCACTGTAGGGGCGGCTCCATCACCAGCCGCCCCTACAAAAAAATCGAACCGTTGTTAAAAATCGTTTTTTACGTAGTGCAACTTAATTGTGTTTTATAATTACTTGTGGCATTTAATAGTTTGGGACTCTTACATATGGGCCTCCGACCCTGTGTCCGTTAACTCTCTCTCCAATCATTCACTGTAGACACGCAGCTCATTAATTCAAAGTATTCCTAGCAAGGGAGAGAGACCCTGAATGGCCGTAGGAAAGTTTCCCTGAGCTCAAAGCTCATTTTTCTTATTCCTGCGAAAGCACAAGTACACTTGCCGTTCCTCTGGAAAGTAATGTATTTTTGCTGCTTCCCTTGTTCCAAGCGATGAGAGAGGAGATGATTCCTCTGAAATGATTTTTCCCTACGTTTCCTACGTTCTTCCTTCAATCCAAATAAGGCCTAATTTTAAGGGCGTGCATACATGCTATTATCTGTATTCCAAATTGTAAGTCGATTTGTCATTTATATAGATTTTTACAACGTTTCTAAATATCGTGTATACTGATGTATAAGAAAAGTTACCTAAAAAATCTAAAACGACATACGATTTAGAGCCACAACCGATAGATCAGATGCTCCATACGTCTCTTTAATTACGTGGTAAGTAAAACCAAAGATAGACCCTATCGTAATTCACCTTCACTTGAGAGCAGAAATGTACCAGATTAGCTGACGTACAAAACACTATGGCCTATTTGGTATCCATTTGCATCCTTAGTTATAACCATGTCTGGTACCTAGTTTACTGAAACGGAGTCATAAGCCCATGCCATTGTAATTTTTTTTCGCTCCTATTCTCGTCATAAGCCACGTCTGCTATAGTGGATAGAGCTGAACTTGAAAAAAACGTCGCGAGCAATAATCTATACCTACCTAATAAGTAATAATAAGGCGACGAAATTTTTGCCTCTTTTTTAGTCTGGGCTTTTTTTCTGGCCCATTCTAACGTCACCTAGCTGTCCGGTTCGCGGCCCTCTAGCTCGCGGTCCTCTCCACTCACTCGCAGCCCACTCGCTCGTGGCCCGAAAAAAATCGCTCGCTGCCCACTCCAGCCACAGTCCAAAAAAAAATTCCCTGCAGCGTGGGACAAAAAAAGTGCCCACTCCAGCCACAGTCAAAAAAAAATCCAAACAATACCTTTTCTATATTTATGGCCAGAACTTCTGCCATATAAATTTATTCGTCCAGCTCTAATCCCCTTCCACGTTTAGATTTATTGTCCGGTTATGTCCCTGATCCTCTTTTCCGTGTCTATGTCTGGTTCAGTTTAGGTATAATCAATATTAATTTTCTTTCCTCTGTTCCTTTGGTTGGGTGCACTTCAGTTTCTGTTTGATTTTTTGTTGGCCTTCCGTCCAATTTCTTTATTTAAGATTTCTTTTGTTTTTCGTTGCATCCGTTCTCCTCTTAGGTGATTTTTTCCATCGATTTATTTAAAAAATAAATAAATATTATGGACCTTTGAACCGTTGATTTTTCTCTAAGAAAATTTTTCTATAGCCAAGTTGTTTCGTAATTTTGATCAGAAACATATTCTTATTCAATCCTGGATTAGAAGGTGATTCAACTAATCAAAATGTGAATAGAAAATTTAAATAGTTTATTGTCAGCCCAAACCGGAAAAAATTCCCCGCAGCCTGGGACAAAAAAGTGCCACTTCGGGGTTCGAAGCCTGGCCACCACAATTGGAGAACAAATTACCTACCACCACACTACATGGGGGTGTTCGGCTAATGGTTTTGTGGCTGATAAACCGGCTGATGCTGTTTTGTTGCGAGGGAAAAATATTATACCATGGCTGATAAATTCAAGAGAACAGGACAATGAGCCCAGGTTTTAAATTTTGTAGCTGGTGAAACATAAATAATACCACCCTCTGTCCCAAATTATAGGTTGTCTTGGATTTTTTTAGGTACATAACTTTTGCTATACACGTAGATATACGAAATGTCTAGATATATAGTAAAAGTTATATATCTAGAGAAGTCAAAATGACATGTAAATTGGAAGGGGGAGTACGTACCATTCTATCGTCGTTCCATGCAAGGGCATATTTGCTAAACGAGCAAAGGTCAGTTTTGCTCAATGTTTGGTTTTCTCTCTCCAATCCAAAAACTGGTACCTTTCAAAAAAAAATCGAAAAACTGGTATCTGGACCCATTTTGCAATGGCGTTTGAGCCCACCTTATCCAGGGCCCATATTGTTATCCGTTGGAGCCCCATCACCATCAGCCCAATTACCAGACGCAGCACTGCAGCAGAAGCACAGCAGTAATCAGTTCACTACGCGATCCTTCGGCGTTCATTCCACTCCCGTCCCCAAATCGCTCGCCTTCCCAAACCCTAGCCACCGACGACCATGGCGGCGCCGCCGCCACCGGATCCGGCGGTTCTGATGGTCGAGCTCGTGGAAGAGTTCCTCCTCCGCCTGCCGCCGGAGGACCTCGCGCCGCCCTCGTGAGCAGGCAGTGGTACCGCGTCGTCACCGGCCCCTCCTTCCGCCGTAGATTCCGTGAGTTCCACCGCTCGACACCATTGCTGGGCTACATCCTCAATCTCGCCGACTCCATCCGCTTCCTCCATATGTCATCATTTCGCCCGTCCCATGCACACCGCGGCGGTGTGCGAGCGGTCAGCTCAAGCCATGGTCGCGTCCTCCTCCATCGTTCCGCTGGGGAGAATCTGTATGCCCTTCGTTCCACCGGGAAGGATCCGGATGTCCTCCTCTCCGTGTGGGATCCCATCACAGACGAGCAGCAGGACCTGCCCGTGGTGCCAGTGCGGCCGTCCCTATGCCTCAGCATGGCTAACTGGGAGGCAGTCCTCATACGCGCCAATGGCGAAGGCTGCAACCATTTCAAGGTAGTCTTCGTGGGAAAACGTCGAGGGACGTTCTCTTGTTTCTACTCATCCGAGGCTGATAGCTGGAGTGATACCGTCTTTGCTTCTGAGGGGATCGGCTCTTTTATCCCGGGAAACTGTGTCCTCATTGAGAGTACCCTCTACTCCAAGTGTGCAGCTAGCTATGATATCTTCAAATACGACATGCTGACAAATCAAATGTGTAATATTCGCGTAAGACTAGGACCTGGTGTCCGACTGGACGACTGTATGCTTATTGCTACGGAGGACGGTAGGCTAGGAGTTGCCAAGGCAAGCAATTCAACACTCCTCCTGTGGGTAAGGGAGCATGGAACATGGGAACAAAGCAGAACGCATTGACCTTCAGGCGCTACTCCGATCTGAAGCCTCGCAGTCAGACTTTGGGTGGCTGGCTTTGCAGAGACTGGAGCTGGTGTCATTTTCTTACAGACACATGTTGGGTGTTTCACTATCGATCTGAAGTCTGGGAGTTGCAAGAAGGTAGGGGAGGACTTAGTCTCGGCTCGTGTTGTTCCCTACGTGAGCTTCTGCACTCCAGGTACGCATTTGATCACTTCCTAATTTGCCTGTTTGCACAATTAGTTAGTTCAGCATGAAAATGTGGTCAATTGCACATGGGCTCAACCGCTCAACAACATTGTGTGTGTGTGTGTGTTTTGTGCGGAGAAAAGAACAGTGTCTCTGTCAAAGTATGATATCTGAACCTTATGTGCTGGATTACTCGTACCTATATGTTATCTACATAAAAGGTTATAGCTACATACATTAGCTTCTAAAGTTCAAATATTAGCCTCATGCCAATCTTTAATGATATATGTTCCTCAAACTTCTCTTGTATGATAATGCCACTTGATAACATCGTAGAAATACAAATCGGATATCTGAACAATGTCTCTGCCAAAGTATGATATCTGAACCTCTGGTAAAAACCGGATTACTTCTACCTATATGTTACCTACATAGAAGGTGTATACCTATATATATGAGCTTCTAAAGTTGAAATATGAGCTTCATGCCAATCTTTAATGTTATATGTTCCTCTATCATCTCTTGTATGCGAATGTCACTTGATAACATCGTAGAAATACAAATCGGATATGTTCTTAGATCTGGACTAGTTTGAGTTCATCTTTATGATGTTGTGGATGTGTGACCATTATCTGGATAATAAATCAGCGCAGTTTTGTTAGCCATCGGAGCCAACTTGATGGCTCCTGTGTGGTTCTGTAGACCAAATGTTCACTGTTCCCATCAATTCATCATATTTTGTATCTGTGTTTCTTATGCAGCACCGGGAGCAGTTTCCACAGATGAGGTGCCAGTAGCTGATATTGCGGTCTCTACAGATGAGGGACCAGGAGCTGGTGTTGCGGTCTTTGCTGATGAAGGGCCAGCTGCTGGCATGTGTCAAGTGCCTAAGAAGCTCAAATTACAAGTGCAAGGGCCTCTAAATCAAGAGGGAAATTAATAGAAGAGAATCATGCTTTTCAGTGCGATGTCTAGGGCCTCTAAGTCAAGAGGGAAATTAATAGAAGAGAATCATGCTTTTCAGGGCGATGTCTCTTAGCCCCCGTTTGGTAGAGCTCTCACCGGTTCTAGTTTCTCTTACGCATTCACTGTTTATGCACTATTTACAGGAGCCTCTTTTATCTCTCCTCTCATCTTCTCTCACAGAGCCAGTGAGAGCAGGTGAAGCTAGTTTTTTAGTTTCATTTGCTCCCACTGGTTCTGTGAGGGAAGGAGATAAAAAGAGCTCATGTGAACAGTGAATGAGTCAGAGAATCTGAATCCAGTAGGAGCTCTATCAAACGGGGCCTTACTTGATTTTGGTGCTATGCTGCGCTCCTAATTGGCCATGTTTGTTTTCTCTTATAATCCGTCTTTTTCAGCTTGTTTTTTCAGCCGGAACAGTGTTTTTGTCCCACAACAAATTAGCCGGAACAGTGTTTTGGTTTTTTCAACGAAGCGAACGGGGCCATTGTATTCTAGATCACTGGTATCGGTAATAATTAGTAGTACTATCTCTCTCTAAAGTCAGTAGCTTGCTACTTAGTTTGATGTTGTCTTGGCTCTTCTGCAAGATGGTAGCTGAATCAGGATTGTACTCACTTTGTGCTTGAGAATTTGAGTTTGCAATCTAATTATCAGAACAATATTCACTTATGTCTTGCAAGCAAAGCAAGAGTGACGTTGAGATCTTAGGCGAAGCCGGGCGGCCACATCTCTGTAACATCCGGTCCAGTTTGGAATTTGGCTCATAGTGGCCTATATGCAAGTTAATGAGATATTGTGGAGAGTTTAGTCCCACCTTGGTTGTTAAAGGTGGGATAGATCAACATGTAAGGCTTCTAGAGTCTATCCCATCGTCTCTGGGTTAATCCTTTTACGCGAAGCGAGGATAAAAGCGTAAGTGGGATGGTGGTAGGTGTGGTTCGCTCAGCGTGTCGAGTGGATCTGAGCCGTTTGGATTCTGTGGCGTTACAATCTCCGTGGTGGCATTGTTGTTGAAGAGCGGAGGGGCCCCACGTCGCGCGGCCATGGAGATTGCAGTGGGTGCGGCATCGAACGGTGGCCACCCCTCCCTCCAGTGTGCATCGCAAGGAAGCGACGAGGAGGGGCCCGGTGGTGGATGTCACACGGCGAACGGCGCTCTGCAACATGTGTTGGCGTCAGTGGGTGCGGCATCGAACGGCGGCCACCCCTCCCTCCAGTGCAGTGAAGTGCAACAAGGCGCAGTTCACTTCGCTTCACTGCACTTCACTGCCCAGCGCTACATGTTAGGCAGGCACTATTCTCACCGTCCAACACCGCATCAAGATGTGTGTAATCCAAATCAGCAGCGTGAAGCAGTGGAGGGGGAGAGTGCAACAGCACACATCTCAAAGCACATTTCAACGGTGCAGATAACACATGCTGAGCATTTACATGCTGCAATGTGCTTCTGTCCCCAAAGTCGCGCGCTCCCTCTCCCATTCCCAAACCCTAGCCGCCGCCACCGGATCCGGCGGTTCTGATCGACGAGCTCGTGGAAGAGTTCCTTCTCCGGCTGCCACCGGAGGACTCCGCGCTCCTCGCTCGCGCCACCCTGGTCAGCAGGCAGTGGTACTGCGTCGTCACCGGCCCCTCCTTCCGCCGTAGATTCCATGAGTTCCACCGCTCGACCTCGGTCTCGGGGACTCCATCCGCTTCGTTCCTCTGTCATCATTCCGCCCGCCCCGTACTCACTGCCGCGGTGCATCGTTCCGCCGGGGAGGATCTGGATGTCTTCCTCTCCGTGTGGAATCCCATCACGGACAAGCAGCAGGACCTGCCCGTGGTGCCACTGCGGCCGACCCGATACCTGAACATCTTTAACTGGGACGCGGCCGTCATCTGCGCTGTAGGCGACGGCTGCAACCATCTCCACTGCCATTTCAAGGTAGTCTTCGTGGGACAACGTAAAGAGAGGACGTTCTCTTGTTTCTACTCATCCGAGGCTAGTAGCTGGAGTGATATCCCGTCTTTGCTTCGGGGCGGCCCGAGAATTCTTTTTACCCGGGGAACTGTGTCCTCATTGGCACTGCCCTCTACACCACGTGTGCAGCTAGAAATGAAATCTTCAAGTACGACTTGCGGACACATCAGATGTGTAATATTTGCGCAGGACTAGGACCTGGTGTCCAGCTCGACGGCATTGTTGGACATAGATGTACGCTTATCGCTACGGAGGATGGTAGGCTAGGGGTTGCCAAGGCAAGCAATTCAACACTTCACCTGTGGCTAAGGGAGCATGGAAGATTGGAAGAAAGCAGAGCCATTGACCTTCACACGCTACTTCCACGTGAAGCCATCATACACTCACCTTGGGTTGTCGCCTTTGCAGTGACTGGAGCTGGTGTCATTTTCTTATTGTCATGTGTTGGGTGTTTCACCGTCGATCTGAAGTTTGGGAGTTGCAAAAGGGAATATTTTTTTAATTTTAACACTTTTTAGAAACTAATTTTAAATCTAACACTGTCGGGTTTTTTTAAAAAACTAACACTTTTGGCCGCGCCTATTGCCCTAGCGCGACGTGGCGGCGATCGATCGGACGACGACGTGACGTGGCGGTGCCGCGCGTCACCGTTCTTGGCGCGACAGTGACACGCCACAGCTGATGGCGTGGCAAGGATGGAATTAATTCACCGGGCTGACGCCGCGGCCGCAGAGCACTGCTGCCTGCCAACGTGCTGCGTGTGCTGCCACCACGTGATCACGGAAACCTAGGGCCCCACGTCGTCCTCAGGGCTCATCCTCATCCTCTGTGGCTCGCCTTTCCTGTGGCTGTGGCCTGCCCTACCAAGGACTAGGACTGCTTGGAGCTCAGAGAGCCAGAGCTGAGACCCGAGAGATGCTTGAGTCTGGATACAGTATAGTTTTTTTTTTTCATTGTTTCGGTGACTTTATACACGACAGAAGGGGAAAAAAAAAAGAATACTGTGTCCTAATATGTGACGTGACTCGTTCTTCATTTTCTTGTATACAGTATAATTTTTTTTTTGTTTGAGAATCTTGTATCCAGACTCCAGCATCTGTCTGATCTCCACGTGACGTTGTTTACCGACCTGCAGGTAGTACAATAGAAATTTAGCAGGAGTGTTCTGTCACGATCTTAGTTACCTTGACGTTTGCTTGTTGTTTCTTTATACTGCCTGTATCTGTAATAAAAACTACTCCGTAGTACAGTACTAGTGAAAACACTTTTGGTTAGCCGGCAGGCAATGCGTGTGGCAGAGCTGATTAAATTGTTTTTATACGAGTATTTGGGAGCACCGCCGTCGGCGTGCTGCAATTGGCATGGATCCCCCACCCCGTATAACACCGCATAAAAAGTTTAGTGACCGCTCTTGCATTTTACAAAACCACACAATTGTTTCTCAAGAGGTAGCAAGAGGACATTGATTAATTCCATATTACCTTTAGAATGTCTAGCTCAAAAAATGATAGATCTAATATAGTTATTTGATAGTTGGTATTATAAATCTTAATGAAAAATTAATTTATGCATTATGTATAGTGCAAAACGTCAAGAGCAGGTGAGCAAGTTGTACAGTGTAAATTAATTTATGTATTCTCTTTTGCAACAGTGCAGAGCGACGGTGCCAGGGACACTGCCTGACGCATTATGTCACTGCTCACACGTTGCATGCATGGCTGTTGAGTCAAAGGCAGCCGCTGCTGGTGTGCTGTGCGCCGAGTGTGCTCTCGTGAGCGGCTGTGCAAGTGGCAGGTTGCTGATGGTTGTAGCTCTCTGTAGCTAGTACGGCCTGGACTGGACATGCATAGCCCAAGCAAGCAAAGCAAGCATGCATGCTTTACAGCCTGTTCGGCCGGTGCTGATACGATCGTGGATTATTACTGCTGATTGGTTTGGTGTGAGAGAAAAATACTGTTCTGACAAGCCGTTTACGACCAAGCGAATAGACTAGTAGTGGAGTAGCTCGCCTCTAGTAGCGAAGGGAAGCATAACTGAGCATGTATGACGTGCCAACTGACAAGCCGGTGATGGCAGCAACAGTGGTCGCAACGTGACGGAACCGAGAGAGCCCATAGCCCTGTAGCCAGTAGGGGTCTTCTCAGGAACAGCCCATTGCTATTGCTAGTGTAGAGCACCACCTATTTTCTTCCAGAGCCTCATTAGGATTAATGTACCAGTACCAGATTGTGACCAAACAGAAAAGTACTACAATCACAGTTGTGTAGGGCATGAGCATGGGCACAGTGTTTTGCTGCTTTCCTGCTGCCCCCAGGAGATATGGCACCGATGCAAAGCAGTGGGGATACGCACGGATATCGAGACAAAGTGGCAGACAAAGCTTTTGAATTAAAGCAGCGGCCGCGGCGTTGGCAGGCAGCAGTGCTCAATCCCGTCCTTGCTGCGCCATCAGCTGTGGCGCGTCACTGCCGCGCCAAGATCGGTGGCGCGGCAGACCCTGCCACGTCAGCGGTCAGTGATTTCGGTCGCCGCCACGTTAGCCCGCTGCCGCGCCACCATGCATGGCGCGGCACAGGCATTTGGCCGCGCCAGGGCAATAGGCGCGGCCAAAAGTGTTAGTTTTTTAAAAAAAACGACAATGTTAAATTTAAAATTAGTTTTCAAAAAGTGTTAAAATTAAAAAAAATATTCCAAAAAGGTAGGGGAGAACTTCTCGGCTCGCGTTGTTCCCTACGTGAGCTTCTGCACCCCAGGTACGCATTTGATCGCTTCCTAATTTGGCCATTTGCACGAGTAGTTATTTCAACATGAAAATCTGGTCAACTGCACATGGGCTCAACAGCATTGTGTTTTTCTTTTCCGGAAAAAAGACAATGTCTCTGTCAAAGTATGATATCTGAACCTCATGTTAAAACCAGATTACTGCTACCTATATGGTACCTACATACATGAGCTTCTAAAGTTCAAATGTTAGCCTCATGCCAATCTTTAATGATATATGTTCCTCAATCATCTCTTGTATGCTAATGTCACTTGATAATATCGTAGAAATACAAATCAGATATATTCCTGATCTGGACTAGTTTGAGTTCATCATTATGATGTGGGTATTTGACCATTAACTGGATAATAATAAATCAGCGCTGTTTTGTTAGCCATCATAGCCAACTTGATGACTCCTGTGTGATTTCTGTAGACCGAATGTCCACTGTTCCCATCAATTCTTCATATTTTGTATCTGTGTTTCTTATGCAGCACCAGGAGCTGTCTCCACAGATGATATACTAGGAGCTGGTATTGCGATTTCTACAGATGAGGTGCCAATAGCTGGTATTTCGGTCTCTACAGATGAGGGATCAGGAGCTGGTGTTGCGGTCTCTGCAAATCAGAGGCCAGGAGTTGCTGGCATGCGTTAAGTGCCTAAATTACAAGTGCAAGGGCTTCTAAATCGAGGAGGAAATTAATAGAACATAATCATGGTTTTCGGTGGGATATCTCTTGATTTTGCTGCTGTGCTGGCCTTGTGCTCCAGGCCTAAATGCATTCTAGATCACTGGTATTGGGAATAATTAGTAGTACCATATATCTCTAAAGTCAGTAGCTTGCTACTTAGTTTGAAGCTGTCGTGGGCTCTCCTGCAAGATGGTAACTGAATCAGGATTGCACTCACTTTGTGCTTGGGAATTTGAGTTTGCAGTCTTATTATGAGAATGATATTGACTTATGTATGAAAGTATGACATGGAATTTAATACTGTGTATGATTGTGGCAAAATTTCCTCTTCTACTTTTGGCATGGAACCATGGAAGGAAATTAGTTGACTCCAATACAATATCATTAATAATTCGTGTGATTGATTTGTCTAATATTGTAGTAGATGCAGAATAGTGAGGACTGTTTTTGTATGCAATGGGAGCAGGATTGGTGAACATTCAGCATGAGCTTTTAAGGCTTTTGAGGCCTTTGACTGATGACAGCATAGATGAAAAAATAAGGGGGAATCCATCAGTTTTAGCTGCAGCACTAAAACAACATAAGTCTACCGATGGCCTTTAGCCAAGATAAGTACTGATGCTCGGTTTAGTTTCATTAATGTTCCGAATGCAGAGATTTCTCTAGAAACTTTTGTAGCCAGGTTCACCAGATTGAGGCTATCATTTCCAACATCAGCCGGCTTGTCCATACTGCAGAGGGCATGCTCTATATCTCTTATATGCTCTGTTTAATGAGGACCCAGCAAAGGCTAAAGGGTTGATCTTTGATCCCTCCATTTAATTAACCGCTCGCATTTGGAAAACAAAAGGGTGTTGATATCTAGCAAAATCTTCGACTACCATTATGATATTTATCCTGAAACATTTTGAATTCTGACTAGCTAAAGAAGGTAGGTTACCATGTGCAGATCTTCAAGGAACATCTTTAGATCCATTCAGATTTCAGAATGCTAGCACAACAACAGAAAAGAAAAATGGGTGCCCTGAATCACAGAGGAAACAGGAAAACAAGCTAAATCACAGAGGAACACAGAAAACATGTGCATATACTTAGCAGAGGGAAAATACTGAACCAAAATCTTCAACTGATTTAGAGAATTCTATAGAGAAGGCTCAGACTTACTGAATGATGAGAAATTACATACACAGTAAACAATCTCGAAACTACTCAGGCTGACCCATTTAGATTTGTTTGTTCCCAAAAAAAGAAAGACATGGAATACATGAGATTTGATCTCAAGCTATGTTCATGGGTGATTCAGTAAAAAGAAGGACTAATGACCATGGAAACATACTCTTCTATATATTACTCTAAACTTCCCAACCAAAACAATTACACTAATTGACAATGACTGAAACAAAACAATTTCAGCACGGGGCCTGCAAGATGTGAACAGCAGCGTTGCTCAAGTTTATGGATTGATCATTGCATGCTCACTCGAAAACTTAGGAGAGCTGTGCCACTGCAAGCTCACTGATGGTATCTTACACCAATATGATCGGAAAAATATAAAATGCATAACAGATAAAGAATATGCTACAGCTAAAAAATATGCATAAATGGGAGATAAAATATGCGCGGTGGAAGGGCAATTATTAAGGTGGTAGTTACTTTTTTAGTAGCAGATAGGTAATTACCATTAGCACAATATGAAAGTCTTATTTGTATACATGAACATTAATTAATGTAGAATGCTAGTTAAAAACATGCTTAGTATCGGAGGGTGTTGTGGGCTTGTAACTTGTCAATGTCTAAACAAATGCAATTTCAAGGCGACTAGGAGTATCTTGACGATGAGGAATTCAGGATGATAAAGTTCTGTGGAACTATGAACCAAACCACGAAATACAACCTTTTTACTTTACCCCCACATTTATTTAGGATGCTAAGCTGCCACCATAAATCTTTCTGCTTAGTTATTGTATAAAAGAGTATACTGACCATAGAAATCCCAAGTGTTCCATCTGTTACTTCCCACACCCATTTGTCTTAAAGCTCGCTGGTTCACTTTAGATGAAATAGACAAGTAGAGGCGGTTCTAGAAATCGATTTCAACTGCCTCTAAAAAGTGTTTCGAATCTCCCATTAACGTTATGTTATTGATCAATTTTTCCTGTCCTTCATGAACCTGCTCTCCCTGCTTTAGCTGATCGATCTAATATAGATGTTTAATTCAGTTCCTCGGATCATACAAACACTGAAAAGGACTCCGAAATTCATTATTACACCACCATATATTAGCCAGCCGCACAACGTGTACCACTGTACTATCCAAATATATGCAATGGTTATGGTTTATGCACCAGCGGCAGAACGTGTTTGTTATGGTGCCCATAGGTTCATGTACTGGGAGTGTTGGATCGTGCCAGCTGGTTTTGTGCGTATGGTTTAACTCCGAATGTTTTTCAAATGATACTCCTGCAAGGTGGTGTACTCGACATAAGCCTAGCTAGCTATAGCTAGAATATAAACCAGCAGTTGTTATGAATTCGTTCTTATGACTTACGGACACGGAGATGCTACTAGTTTGCAATTCTAGGTTTGAGAATGTTGTTCTCCTACATGGTAATTGTATCCTCTTTAGCCTTTATGGATTGAAATGTGAAACCGATCAACTTTTTAATTTGTTTTAATCTTTCAGGCCGGTTTCAAGATCGATCAATAAAATTAACAGCTAGCCAACAAAAGTAATGGTAAACAAATTGACTGCTATCGTGCATCTGTCTAGCTAAATGAGCACTACACATTTCATTTTTTTTATAGAACTACTACATGGAAAACATTCGAGAGACTAAATATCTAGTTCCTTGCCAATCTTTACATTGTTCATTGAGAAAGCCCCCTCAGTCACTACTATAGAAAATTTGATCATCGCCTGGACTTTCATCGCCGGGTTGTGTGAGAACTGGCGGTGATACACTTCACCACCGGTCCAGAGGCAGGTGGGGCGTGTAGGGGTCACTAACTGGTGGTAATAAACGTTTTTACCATCGGTTCGATGTATGATCCAGAGGCGAAATTAGTGCCAGCCTTCGCCGCCGTATCATATGTCGAACCCGACAGTGAAAAAATTTAGCACTGCCAGTTAGTCACCCAACGACCGCCATGGGTACGCCAAGCATGTCCCCGGGTAAGAAGCTGCGGATCATCAACAATAACGGGTAGCTGCGATGCCCCATCTACCCCGCAAAGTGGACGATGTACAACTTCAACGGCAAGATAGGCTGTGAAGGAAGGGCGCCATTGTCGCTAGATCAGTTTTGCTTGAGTACCCGCTCCGCGTGTGGTAATTCACACGATAGCTATCAGTAGATTTCATGACTTGAGCAATGGGATGACATCTCTTAACTATGTAATAGAAGTCATTTAATATATATGATATGAACTCTCCTAGTACAATATATTTGTTGTCTCTATTTTTTGCCTACATTTGAATTCCATCCGTGTCATTTTCATTAGGGTGAACAAGCAAATCATATGGTTAAATTTCCAAGTTCACAACATTTTTCATGATTTTTTGTTTCTTTAGTGAATGCCTATCAATGCATTGTTAGATCAAATCGCCTACCTTTGACACATCAGTCCCCGCCTCTACATTGTATGATATAGTGTTGCATGCATAGAGAGGCGCCCCGTCACTGGTTCTCACTGTATGATACGGTGGTGCATGCCTAACACATCAGCATATGATACGGTGGCGTCGTTGCCAAGCTGTAGTTTAGTGTCCCCGTCACCGTAAGTGACGGCCAAAGATCCTAAGGCTTCCCATACGGCTGACTACCAGGCAAGAATATGGCCCGGCCCATGGACTGCCAGGAAGGCACGGATAGGTGGCGTGGCTTCCAAGGCAAGAAGAACGGATCTAGTCGGATTATAGAAAATCTATCTTTATAACAGACTAGAACTCTTCTGCTTTAATCGGCCAGACTAGAATCCTGCACCTGCCCTCTTGACTATATAAAGAGAGGCGTAAGCATCCCCTCGTAACACGTTATACTACACAATCCAACGCAAAATATTCCACCATACATGACGTAGGGTATTACACTATTTAGCGGGCTGAACCTATCTAAATCGTTTTCTCTTATTAACCATCGAGTTTGATTTTACGCCGAAGCCCACCAATGCTCGCTCTAGAAAACCCTATAGCAAGGTTGCCGGTCATCAAACACCGACAGCTGGTGCGCCATGTAGGGGCTTTCGACGAAAAAAAGCTCAAGAGCTCGATGCACCTCAAGATCGTCACCACGTTCACGGCGGGATCGACTTTCATCTTCGGTTCCTAGATCTGCACGGCGGACGACACCAGCATGCTCTATAGTCTCCTCGTGGAGGCTACGGCGGATCAAGCTCCTCATCAAGACGCACTCGTCGAGAATTTTGGCAAATTTTCAATTTCTAGTCCAACCCCGGACGTGGAAACAATTCAAGCTGCTCGAGACCGACTCATGCGCGACCAAGTTTCCCGAGTCGGCTTCCGAGTCATCGGACAACTATGGTCCAGGCTCCAGTTCCCTGTCCGACGACACCGCCAGCTCAAGAATACCGCCTCTTGTTTACGGCGACGGTCTCAAGACTTATTGCCATCTACTCTAGAGGAGGAAGAGGAAGTCCCTCCGGCAGGCGCCTAACGAGACTTAGTCCTTACCGCTTTCGTCACAAGGGAAGATCATACACCGTCGTTCTTCCCATGATAGTTGCATGATGGGGCTATTGCCATATCAAGTCGGAACCGCCCTCACCGACATAATTCACCTTCACTTGAGAGCGTAAATGTACCAGATTAGGCGACGTATAAAACACTATTGGCCTATTTGATATCCATTTGCATCCTTAGTTATAACGACGTCTGGTACCTTGTTTACTGAAACGGAGTCGTAAGCCATGCCATTGTAATTTTTTTCCCTTCAGTTCTGGTCATAAGCCACGTCAATATAGTGGATTGAGCTGAACTTGAAAAAAAAGGGTGCGTTTGGTAGTCTTGCTGAGCTGGGATATAGCTCAACTGGGCAAGCTTGCCAATTCCAGCGAGGTCAACCTTGCCACTACAGCACGTTTAGCTCTTTTGCCCAGCTAGCTTCATCGTTTGGTTGCGTATACAGCTCGCCGACCTCGCTGCCTCGTTTCTCAAAGCAATTGAGCATTCATGTACATGGAAACAATAAACGAGAAAAGGTCAATTTTGCTCGATGTTTGGTTTTCTCTCTCCAATCGAAAAACTGGTATCTTGTCTCATTTTGCAGGAGTCTACTACATAACCATGTGTTTTATGCAATTTCAACACATAATTTTTTTTACACCATAAGATTAAGATCTAACAGCCTCCACCCTTCTTCTAACTCCAGCCTTTTTCTACCTTCAAAAAATCATAAGATCACAGATCCACAGATCACAGGAAATATTTTTTTTTCTATGGAAGGACAAATCACAGATCCGCCGCCGCCACCACCGCAGGTCGCGGTCGCTGCAGGTAGCCTCCGCTTGTGCCCAGGCTGCTCGCCTCCGCCTTTGCCTCACTCGACGCTCCTCCCAGGCTGCTAGCCGTCCGCTCGCCGGAGCCGCATCTGCTCGCCCTCCGTGTCCACTTGTCGAAGCCGCGCCATGCTCGCCCACCGCGTCCACTCGCGCCGTGCTCGCCCGGCGCATCCGCTCGCCCGCGCTGCGCATTCGTGTGCCGGTGTGCGCTCGCCCGACGGCCACCGCGCTCGCTCGCTCGCATGCTGGTGCTGGTTCTCCGCTGCCGCATGCGCTCGCCGTGTGCGCGCCGGTGAGAAAGAGAGAGGGAGAGAGATAAAAAAAATCCATGTGTTATTTTTTTTTTCTAAAACACCCGTGTTGTGTAGCATTTCTATTTTGCAATGGCGTTTGAGCCCACCTCATCCTGGGCCCATATTCATCACCATCGGCCCAATTATCTGGCAGCTGCAGCAGAAGCACATCAGTTCACTACGCGATCCTTTCCTTGGGCGTTCACTCCACTCGAGTCGCTCTCCCAGCCTCCCGTCCCCAAATCGCCCGCCTTCCCAAACCCTAGCCACCGACGCGCCCCCGCCGCCACCACCGCCACCGGATCCGGAGGTTCTGATCGACGAGCTTGTGGAAGAGTTCCTTCTCCGCCTGCCACCGGAGGACCCCGCGCTCCTCGCTCGCGCGGCCCTCGTCAGCAGGCAGTGGTACCGCGTCGTCACCGGCCCCTCCTTCCGCCGTAGATTCCGTGAGTTGTACCGCTCGACACCATTGCTGGGCTACGTCCTCAATCTCGCCGACTCCATCCGCTTCGTCCCTCTGTCATCATTTCGCCCGCCCCGTACACGCCGCCGCGGTGTGCGAGCGGTCAGCTCAAGCCATGGTCGCGTCCTCCTCCATCGTTTATCCGGGGAGGATCTGGTTGCCCCTGGTTTCCCCGTGAAGGATGTGGATGTCCTCCTCTCCGTGTGGCATCCCATCACGGACGAGCAGCAGGACCTGCCCGTGGTGCCACTGCGGCCGACCCGATACCCGAACACGGCTAACTGGGACGCGGCCGTCATCTGCTCTGGAGGCGACGGCTGCGACCATCTCCACTGCCATTTCAAGGTAGTCTTCGTGGGAAATTGTGAAGACAGGAATTTCTCTTGTTTCTACTCATCCGAGGCTGGTAGCTGGAGTGATCCCGTCTTTGCTGTGGAGGAGTCCGAGAATTTTTTTTGTCCCAGGGAAATGTATCCCCATTGGCACTGCCCTCTACACCACGTGTATATGTACCAATGAAATCGTCAAGTATGACTTGCGGACACATCAAATGTGTAATATTACCATAACAATAGGACCTGGTGTCCCACCCGACATCATGGAACATAGCTCTAGGCTTGTTGCTGCAGAGGATGGTAGCCTAGGATTTGCCAGGGCAAGCAATTCCACACTTGGCCTGTGGCTAAGGGAGAATGCAGCTGATGCCCTGCCTGATCCGGTACTAGAACCATCTGAAGCCATCCTAGCCAAACCTTTGGTGATCGCCTTTGCAGATACTGGAGCTGGTGTCATTTTCTTATGGACACGTGCTGGGTATTTCACCATCGATCTGAAGTCTGGGAGTTGCAAAAAGGTTGGGGAGGTCTCCTCGGGTCGCGTTGTTCCCTATGTGAGCTTCTGCACTCCAGCTACACATTTGATCACTTCCTAATTTGCCCATTTGCACAAGTAGTTAGTTCAGCATGAAAATATGGTCAATTGCACATGGGCTTAATAACATTGTGTGTGTTTGTGTGTGTGTGTGTTTTCGGTGAAAAGGACAATGTCCCTGTCAATGTATGATATCTGAACCTCATGTAAAAACCAGATCACTCCTACCTATATGGTACCTACATAAAAGGTTTTACCTACATACATGAGCTTCTAAAGTTCAAATATTAGCCTCATGCCAATCTTTAATGATATATGTTCCTCAATCATCTCTTGTATGCTAATGTCACTTGATAACATCGTAGAAGTACAAATTGTATACATTCCTAGATCTGGACTAGTTTGAGTTCATCTTTATGATGTTGTGGATATGTGACCATTAACTGGATAATAAATCAGTGTTGTTTTGTTAGCCATCGGAGCCAACTTGATGGCTCCTGTGTGATTTCTGTAGACCGAATGTTCATTGTTTCCATCAATTACTCATATTTTGTATTTGTGTTTCTTATGCAGCACCGGGAGCAGTCTCCACAGATGATAGACCAGAAACTGGTGTTGCCATTTCTACATATGAGGTGCCAGTAGCTGATATTGCGGTCTCTACAGACAAGGGACCTGGAGCTGGTGTTGCGGTCTCTGCAAATGAGGGGCCTGGAGCTGCTGGCATGTGTCAAATGCCTAAGAAGCCCAAATTACAAGTGCAAGGGCCTCTAAATCAAGAGGGAAATTAATACAACAGAATCATGGTTTTCAGTGCGGTATCTCTTGATTTTGCCGCTGTGCTGCGCTCCTAAATGTATTCTAGACCACTGGTACCATTAATAATTAGTAGTACTATTTATCTCTAAAGTCAGTAGCTTGCTACTTAGTTTGATGCTGTCTTGGGCTCTTCCGCAAGATGGTAGCTGAATCAGGATTGTACTCACTTTGTGCTTGGGAATTTTAGTTTGCAATCTAATTATCAGAACAATATTGACTTATGTATGAAAGTATGATGTGGAATTTAATACTGTGTATGATTGTGGCAAATTTTCCTCTTCTACTTTCGCCATGTGATTGATTCGTTTAATATTCCTTGCAAATAGGTAGTAGGGTGCAAAATAGTAAGGACTGTATTTGTATGCCATGAGAGCAGGATCGGTGAACATTGAGCATGAGCTTTTAAGGCTTTTGAGGCCTTCGACTGATGACATCATGGAGAAAAATAAGGGCAATACATCAGTTTTAGCTGCAGCACTAAAACAACGTAAGTCTACTGATGGCCTTCAGCCAAGATAAGTGCTGATGCTCGGTTTAGTTTCATGAATGTTCCAAATTCAGAGATTGCTCTAGAAGAACTTTTTGTTGCCAAGTTCACTAGATTGAGGCTATCCTTTCCAACATCAGCAGGCTTTTCCATACTGCAGAGGGTATGCTCTAGTGTTCTGTTTAATTAGGACGTGGCAAAGGCCAAAGTGTCAATCTTTCATCCCTCCGTTTATCTATTTGCGGAGGCAACTATGGTTGTGAACACATTGGGTGCCAACTGCCAACTATTGGAAAACTGGAACATTTTGTGTCCAATGTGAATTCAAATAAAAGAAGAAGCTTCTCTCAAAACTGTACATGCATCTCGCTAGGACTGAATATTTGGTGTCCGGTGTGAATTTAAACAAAGGAAGAAGCTTGTTTTTGGTTCACTAACCTTGGTAATGAACATGTAATAATTACCCTGAAAAGAACTTGTACATCAGCTGAATTAGTCGAAGGACATGAAGTTATATATGGGGTCACCTAAATAAATCTAAAACTAAGTTATACATGATCCAATGAGTATAAAATTTTTACTACAGTTCAAGCATACAATAATTATCCCACCATAAAAATTTCACCACACTTGGACCACAGAAACTGCAGCTATGAATTAATTACAGAAAAGCATAGATCTAAAGATATAGCAAAACATTTGTACTAAAGCATACCATATTATATGTTCATTGTGTAGATCTACTCACATGGAGTCCAACAAAATTAGATTTTCTATTTTATGATTTTTCTGTGATTTACTATGATTTTTTAAAGATTCAACAGAAATAAATAAAAAAGAAAAGATAAAACCACATTTAAAAACCGCTTATAACCGGTAAGGGAGGTAAAACGAACGGTTTTAAAAGTTCAGGAAGGTGGTTTTTCCGGTTTAAGAGTTCAGAGAGAAAAATAGACTTTCATAAAAGTTGAGTGAAGTAATGCAGACTTTTTCCTATTACAATACACCTCTCAAAGGTCAAAGCAAGCCATCTGACAGGACGAGAGCTCATTGCCGGCCCATTCGTGCCTCTCATTCCATTTTTTGTTTTTGTATTTTCTATAGTGCATTTAAAAAATACAAATATTGCCTCCAATCATCTACTCAGTGGGTGATCCGAAACGCCTTCCCAGTTGGCAAATTATGGATGTGATCGACCTTTTACCCTTTTGAGTGGATGAGGTTTAGAAGCATCCCGATGAAAAGGATTGCAAGTTGGATCTATCATATTTGGTGACCTATCTGCTATCTCCCATTCAATGGGGATTTTTTATATTTCTTCTTCACCAATGGGCCATGAATTATTTGCATTGCACAACACGATTTTTTTTATAAAATATAACTTTTTCATACGAACTCAGATTAAGATTAAAATTATCTAAAAAGTACTATAGGCTTTCGATGAGATCTATAACTTTTTGGTCCTTTTTTTATTTAAGTCGATTTGGATACCCACATGAACTCTACAAAGTTTACATCTATTTTGAAATCAACAAGCAGATTTTAGCTTTGCAGCACTCATTTGGGCATTTAAATGGCTTCAGATAAAAAATGATGAGCTAGGAAGTCATAGATCTTATTGAGAGCAGCAATTTTATATATAAATTGTCCTCATCTCAGTTTTTACCAAAAGTTTACGATTTTTTAAAACTGTGCTACGCATCACGACGTAGAACACACATATACAGGATGCACCACAAATACAAAAGTCGCCCGTGGTGAGAAATATTTATTGTCCAAGTTGGAGAAATTTACATTCAAAAAATTGTGTTAAATGAAGGACAGAATAATTTGAATCTGCTGGTACCATTGACACGTCAGCCTCACAGCAAGGAAGATGCCATCCTCGTATCCCATTCTTTTTATTTTATTTATTTATGCTACCTATAGTGTGCTGTCGGAAAGAGAATCAAAATCTCCAACGGAAAGATCACCTCGTAATTATACGAATCATCAGGGGCTTAAGTCAAAAGTTGGAGCCTGAGAGTCAACTTTTAACCTTCCCGACCGTTGGGATGGTCCTCAGCTGGGCTGATCTCGGGCCTGTTCGGCAGGACTGAAAAATACTGTTCCGGCTGATTGTTGTGAGAGAAAAATACTGTTCTGACAGGATGTGAACAGTGATTTCGTGAGTGACGGAATAAGCCAGCCAGCTGGCTTTAAGCCAGCCAAACACGCCCCTCGTGAGTCGTCATCATGCGCCTCCGCTCTCTGTAAGTGGGTCCGGGTTCAGACCTGTACCCGATAAGAAATTCCTTCCTAAGGCCCCAAAACTCATCCGTGAGAAATGAGAAAACATACCTGAATTGAAAAATCAAACCCGCTCGAGCAACCCCACTCTGGTGTTTCAGGGAAAAAAATATAATTTTTTTATTCCTACCGACCAAGTAATCCAATTACATAAGTGGCTTATATGAATGTGATTCCCTGATTCCTACCGACCAAGTACTACTCGACATTGCCTCTTTGATTTCTGTCTTGTTATTTCGACAATCACAATTCGTACTTCTCCATTCAGTTTAATTAAATTTGTCTTGATTTTTTAAAGAAAATAACTACAAAGTCCTCGTCGTATGGAGCTTAACGACCATTTATTCATCACACTTTTCCTAGATTTTAGTCGACTGAAATCTGAGGAGCTTTCAGGCGACGGCGCCCATGACCGAGCTCCCGCGCACCCGCGCACCCACACGCCCACTCCCCCACCGGAGTCGAAGAAGGAGACGACTGTGTGGAAGAGGAGCTCGCCGGCGTATGAGACGAGAAGTTCACCACCGCTAGGGTTCCGACGAGGTAAGTTTTCCAATTCCGACAGGTTTAGAAGGGATTTTGAGGGGAGGAATGTTGGCCAGGCTGTGGGGACGCCGGCCAGGCGGTTTAGGGACCCTGGCGGCGGTAGAGGCGGCCAGGATAGGTCGAGACAGGGGTGAGGATGGCTATGGTGGCGGCGGGAGGGGGAGGGGAAGAGGGAGGCCGCCGTGGGCGCGGTAGGGTCTTGCCGGAGCTCCGCTGTAACCACCCGGGTGTTTTAAATACTAAAATAAGACATGTCATCACATGCATTGCAAGGCATTTGGTCATATTGCAAACTTTGATATGTATTCACTAAAACAAGTTTACATTTATGTTATGAGTGTTGCCTTGTATGGTTTGAATTGAGTTCTAAGTTGTGTTGATTTGGATTTCTGAAAACCCTGATTTCTAGTGATTTGTTTTACCTCGAAAACCCATTTCAAAATCGAAGTACATTTTGGGGTTGAGCCTTAAAGCAAAAATGTAGAGTTTGTCGAGTTGTACAAAGTTGGTTTTTGGAGTTTTCAAAGTTGCTTAGAAAAATTTGAAGTAATTTGAAAAGACGAAATATACTTAAAGTGTCCCCTTTTGAATTCAAATTTGCATTTCAAAATGTAGACTGAATTTGGGTATGGTTATAAAAGCAAAGTTGTAGAACTTTGAATTTTGAACAACTTTTGTTTTTGGAGATTTTTGAGTTGTTACACAAATTTGGGAGTAATTTCGAAATTTAGACGAATGGCAATTCTGTAATTATGTGGAACAGTGCTCGCCGCCTAAGCTACACCGCCGGCGACCTTCCTCAAGCTTCTAGTCACGGCCGTGGCCATCTTCGGCATCGCACTGGCACGAAGAAGGCTTCTGCGTGGCTTCCTTGCGCTTCTGAGCCACGCTATTTAGCCTTGGCCGTCGCCGTTCGTCCCCGTTTCCTTGCTCTGCTTTTCCCGTCGCCACCGCCCAACTCCGGCGAGCCCGTGTCGTCGCCGTAGCGCCTTCACATCCTTGGCAACGCTTGCCACAGCTCCGCTGGTTCCTTGTGCACCCAGCCAACCAACCACAGCGTGCCTTTCTTCCTCGCGGCCGGCCGAATCTCCGTCGAGAGCGCGTCACCGCGGACTGAGCTCTCCGGTGAGCCGTTGTTCTTGCTCAGCGTAGCTCTAGCTTCGCCTTGATGCCATGGTGCTTAATACCTTTTTGCTTGGTCGTTTTGTCCATCACAGTCACCGGAATCCGCCGTCGACGATCGTTGCTCCGCCGTGGCTGCTGTGCACGTCGATCGGAGTCACCGTTGCTTCTCCGGTCTTGTTTTCTGCTCCAGCGTGTTCGGGGTGAGCTCCTGGTTCTTCCTGACTTGTTTGTTTCACCGTTACCGGCTTCGTTTCGCCGGCGTACCACCGCCGAGCCGCCGTGTCCGCCATGGTCGGCGTCGTGCTCGGTCCGGTCGGTTGTTGGTCCTGCTTGTGCCCCAAATCGATGCGCCTGATCTTTGTGATCATGTTGGTACTCTCGCCGTCGCCGTTGGTCTCACCGACGGTGAGAAATCGTCGGTCAGCACTGTCGTCGCCGTAGTCAAAGCGGGAGGAAGAGGATGACGGGTGGGGTCACCCTGTCAGCGACTGTGTAGTTGAAAAATGAATTTTCTCTTTTTTCAGAAATGTTTGAATAGTGCTGTAATTTGTTATTTTTGTGTAGATTTATTTAGAGCTGCAAAAATTATGAAAATTTTTGTGTGACCTCTATGTGATGAATACTATTTAGAAAAAATATGAAATGTTGTTTTTCAGTACTTTTTGAATGTGATAAAAATTGCTCAATTAATTAATAAATGAGTTTTCATGATTTTTCTAGGCTTATTTATTTATCAAAAAATTATGAAAATTGTTTTGCCACTTAGTTATCATGTGATGAACATTTACAAAAAAATTTAAAGTCAATTGGAATAAGATGATTTATTTCATAATTATTAATTAAATAATTAATTCATAAAAGCAAATAGTAACCTTTAATGAGGTTTTGATTGAATTTTTGATTGAGTGACGTCCTTGGGTCATTAGTTGGTAATGATCTTTGGCAATTGATGTTAGTATTACGGAAAGGTTTAGTTAGTTTGATTTGTAACTGTACCGCGAAGGAAAGTTGTATTCAAGTTATTACTTTTGCATCCATCGTCAAGCATCATGTCTCATATCTCGCATCATGTTAAACATGGCATTGTACTACGTGTAGTGAACGAAGGTGAGCACGTGGTAGTTAATCAAGTAGTTGAGGAGGTTGATCCGTCTGTGGAGGTTGGATTTGATATCGATGGAACGACTCCGGAACCAGACTTTTCCGTCAACGAAGGCAAGCTCCGGATGCATTTAAACCTACCTTGTGTTTTACAAAATTATTTCGCTTTTGCTTTTATATATTGCATTAAGTGATTAGAAGTCAAGTGGAAACCTAATTGATGCATTACCAACCTTGTTTTTTTATATCTACCTTGTTACTAGTTTTAATTCGTATATGCCTAGTTTTGCTTAGCTATGCTTAGAACGATGTAAGTCGGGTGATTACCTGTCACCTGCAAGTTTTAAATGGATCTTTGGTTATTTATGTTATCATGAGATATGAGTATGTAGAGTAATAAATCTAGACCGGGCGAACTCGGTGTAGGAGAGCCACAAGACATGGAGGTTTTGTGAGCGGGTTCTTTTCGCCTATGTCGATTAAGGCTCGTACCGTTGTTGAACCGCATGAGGTGAGACTTTGTAGTACTAACCACATACTCCGGTAAGCCTTAACTTGGCTATTCTATCATGAGAATAGCTACTCGCGCACTGGGAGTGGAGAGATGGCGAGAATAGCGTGTACCCACGTGGCAATGGGCTGGATTGGTGGAGTACTGTATTCTCGGGTGGCGCGGACCCGTTCTTATTTTAGAGGATCCGAGGATAGGTTGATATATGTAAGTCGGAGACCTACATATGTCGTATGGTCTGAAATCCCCAGCTGGGTTTAATCAGTTCGAATTGTCGTTGCTCCTCGGTTATGGAGACTCACTTCTCTGTTCATTATCGTAGTTAAATAACTGGAACTTGAGCATGGTTTGTGAAGGTGTTGGATATAAAGTTTCATGATCTCAATACGGATCGTGTCAGCTTTATATATGATCTTTATGAAGTTTTAAATGTTGATAAAGAATTTTGTTAAAAGAGCTTTTACGCAAAAGAACTTTGATTATCGCTAAAACCATACCTTGAATCCCTGAACCTGCATTCCTGAGTTCTATCAGTTTTTATTTTCAGTTAAGTCTTGTTGAGTACTTTTGTACTCAGGGTTCGTTGACCCTTGTTGCAGGTGAGGCTCATGAGCAGATCTGTTTTGGATCGTGCTGCATGACTGTTGTTCAGTATGATGACGATAAGTAAATGTGTGGCCCTTGGGCAGGACAACTTATTTGTGTGTTCTATAATATGTTATAATGCCACTCTACTACTATGTTTTTTAATATTAACCGAACTTAGTTGTATGGTTTGAAACAAATGGTTTGTAAACTATGTTATTGTAAGTCTTCCGCTAATCTTTACTCTGATGTATATATTTGAATAAACTGTTGTATACTGCAATGACTCTGTAATGGGATTCTACTCGGAAATCGTGGATGATTCGGGGTTCCCCGAGGACACCCGACAGTCTTCTTAAGTTATCGGGAATATATGCATAGATGTCAAAGGTTGTCGGACAGTGACAGGTGCATGTGGCCCCTATAATTTAGGAGGTTCTGCCACATCCGCGGCCGTGGGGGCTTGTGGCGGAGCTCCACGAGACCCTATAGCGCCGCTGCAGGGCAGTAGAGGGTGGGCGGCGACTGGCGCGGACGCGAGGAGGAAGAAACCACACGGACGCAATGAGGAAGATGAATAGTGCGCACGCAACCCCAGCCACACGATGATGATCTGACGGCTCTGCATTATCACCTAAGAGAAACCCATTTTTCAGGTGCCTGTATTATAGTGATTCCCTGTATTCATAGCTCCAAACAATATATACCGTGACAAAAAATGTTTCGTCGTGAGAATAGTAAGGGCATGAGAGTTCAATGATAATAAACAATATAGTAGTCATTTAATTTAAATAGATGCGGGTGATGCCTACGAATTGAAGGTGCACCATAAAAATGGAGGGGAAATAAAGTAGTTAATAGTTTCTATGGTGTTGTTAGCCACCAATTTGATGTCGAAGTTCTGCCTTCCTCTCCTTGGCCAGACTAATCAGGTTGCACCTAAGACCTAACTTTACATGCTATATGCATGTGTACCTTTCTTTAGTTTAATCCTACGGTGAAACCAACAACCCAGGAAAACATAAAACAAAAGGACATATGAATAGAAAGTTGTTACTATGATAATTAGAAGGAGAAAAAATTGACATCTTTAATGATTTCATTTCACAAATATATTACTTACCGTTCTAGGAATTTTTTTCCATGAAAAGCCCCATATGCAACATGGTGGTCCAGTATACTATAGCATATTTAAAGGAAAGTAGGCAAAAATCAAGGCGTGGTAAGACTTTAGACAGGCAATCTTCACTGTAATAAATACCAAAATGCCATAAAACCTCATAATTGCACACGTACTAATTATTAGGAAAGGAAAAAACACCACGTCCCTTCACCTAGAGGCTATAAATAAAACATATCTCACGCACCCAAGGTTCCATCCTCTGGCGAGAAAGAAGTGCCCATGATCAAATAGCATTGTGAGAATACCATTGTAATTGCATCCTAGCTATCCCTAGTAGGATCTCGTGTAATTACTCAATTACACACAACTTCTGAATCCCAACTCTCCACACATGTGCTTCGAGCGCGTGATTTGTCATGACATTATGGGAGTGGAAGGCATCCGATTAGGGGTTTTAGGCTATATGCATTGATGGCGGAATTCAGACGACAACCCACCTAAAAGATATTATATTAGCGGGCAGTACCTACCAATCACAATGGATAATGCAGCAAGAGAAAAAGATGAATCTCACAAAGGGCGGGATATATACGCAAAGGATCTAGAAGTGGGCATTATGACCACCCTCGTCACGAGCCTGGGATGAGATGGTCGCCACATTACAGTCCAAAAAGGTCAAGAAGGAAAGATGCTTAGTTACGCGTGTGAAGCAGCGCAAGCAAAACAATACCACCTGATTAAAATACGTTTAGCAATGATTCTATTATGTTTAGTTCCGCTGTCACAACAAGCCAAAAGAAAATCCAACGGCCACAACACATCCATCCACCGATGTACAAGAATCATCACTAAACCAGGATCTTTTTTTCTTTTTTTTTGCGACGACAGCCCACTAAACCAGGATCCAAGAAAATGCAAGAGTATGTGCACGTAACAAAGGTACAGCATTTTGCAGATCACCCCCACGATATCTCCCTATTCCAACTTCGCCACCGCCTCCCTTCCCTTCCCCCCGCAACGTCCACAATTCCACATCATCCCAACCGCTCTCTCCTCCCTCGAGCGCCATCGCCGTTCGAAACCAGCGCCGCCCGATCCCGAGAATACCCACCACCCCTCTCCCTCCCAGGCTCCCACTGCCGCCCCCACCTCCAGCAGACGCGACTCGCGAGTGCAGTCCACCACCCTCTACGACTACACACACACACACTCTCTCTCTCTCTCTCCTCTCCTCTCCACGGCCCGATCTCGTCCGCGCGCTTTGTCGGAACCGGCGGTGGTGGCTCGGGGGTTCTTCGACTCTGCGTCGGGAATGGTTGCGGCGGCGGCGGTTTTGGAGGAGGCGATGCGACGGGGTGCCGGGAGCGTCGGGGACGACGACGTGGCCGCGCGCAGGGCGGAGGAGGCCGGTGAGTTCGGTTCTTGGGCACCTGCTGCTGCGCGGATCACGCGCGCTGAATCATGGGGCGAATCGGATTGTTTAGTGTCTGTTGTTGTAAGGTGTTCTTGGTTTTAGCTGGGCGCTTTGGGAGGAAATGTTGGGCGATTGGGCACGGAGAGTTTCGTCTTTCTGTCGGAGTGGGTTGGTTTGACACTGAAGTCTGATTCAGTGAGGACGGGTTCGATTTTTCAAATTTGTCGGAACGATTTGGGTGTCATGATCCTCGTGGGATCTAGTAATTCAGCGGCTTCTCTGGTAGTTTACTGTTTCAATTTTGAGGTCCTGTTGAGCTCAGTCGCGTAGACTTAATGTGATCCGTGCTTTGTGCATCTCACTTCACTGGAGAAAGGTTTTATGTCTTCTTCCCTTTTTGCTATATATTGGTTTGGACTAAAACGTCTATTTATGGCCACAATATAGTGCTGTACAAGTTGACCAGCTGTGCAAATTATACTGCAGTGATTGTTTCTTTTTTTCCTTTTTTGGTGAAATACTGTTGTCATTATTGATGTGACACATTTTTAGAAACGCAATGCTACCATGACTCTGTGCTAAGCTAACATCAAGCATACCAAATCAGCGTTTAAGTAGAATGAATTTGACAGCTCCTTTTAGTTGGATTTCTACTCCACCAAGGAAATTTAGGTCTGGCCTTATCATTACCTGAAAAATCCATAAGTTTCAAGGGCATCTGTCTCTGATTATTACAATATGTCAGAGGAAGGTGCACTTATTTCCCTTGTTGGTTAATGAGGCAATAAGAAGGCATGAAGCAGCCAGTTGGTTGCGATATATTGGTTCTTGGGCACCTGCCGCGCGGATCGCGCTGAATCAGGGGGTGAATCGGATTGTTTAATGTCTGTTGCTGTAAGGTGTTCTTGGTTTTAGCTGGGCGCTTTCGGAAGAAAGGCTGGGCGATTGGGCACGGAGAGTCTCATCTTTGTGTTGCAGTGGATCGGTTTGACACTGAAGTCTGATTCACTGAGGACGGGTTCGGATTTTCAAATTTGTCGGAATGATTTGGGTGGCATAATCCTCGTGGGATGCAGTGATTGAACACCTTATCTGGTAGTTTACCGTTTCAATCTTGAGCTCCTGTTGAGCTCAGTCGTGTAGACTTAATGTGATCCATGTTTTCTGCATCTCACTGGAGAAAGGTTTTATGTTTTCTTATTTACCCTTTGCTATATATTGGTTTGGACTAAAATGTCCATTTATGGCCACAATACAGTGCTGTACAAGTGGAGCAGCTATGCAAATTATATTATAGTGATTATTTTTTCCTTTTTTTGGAGAAATACTGCTGTGATTGTTGATGACACACATTCTTACAAACACAATGCTAGCATGAGAGTATGACACCGTGGTAAGATAACATCAAGCATACCAAATTAGGGTTAAGTAGAATGGAATTTGACAGCTACTTTTAGTTGGATTACTACTCCACCAAGGAAATTTAAGTCTGGCCTTATTATTACCTGAAAATCTATAAATTTCAAGTGCATCTCTGTCTGTGATTATTACAGTATGTAAGAGGAAGGTGCACTTATTTCCCCTCTTGGTTAATGCAGCAATAAGAAGGCATGAAGCAGCCAGTTGGTTGCGAAAAACGGTTGGGGTAGTGTGTGCAAGGGACCTGCCAGAAGAGCCCTCTGAGGAGGAATTACAGCTTGGACTGAGAAATGGCATTGTCCTCTGCAACGCACTGAATAAGGTCCAGCCAGACGCCATACCCAAGGTTACACATCTCACATTGAGTTTTCTAATTTAATTTTGCTAGCTGTCACATATGCCAAATATCTGATGCCAATATTTTGTCAACGTTGATAATACTTCTAGATTGTTGGGGTCCCGTCAGATACTGCTGTTCCTGCAGATGGCTCAGCTTTGTGTGCCTATCAGTACTTTGAAAATCTCATGAAACTTCCTTGTCGTTATACAAGATTTTGGCCTCCCAACATTTGAGGTGTCTGATTTGGAGAAGGTAGTCATGTCATCCTGATTCAAGAGAGTCGCATGTGACAATTCTTTTCTTGTAACTCATGGTTTACAATGCACCTGGAACAAATTATTCTTGTGCAAAGTTTACTTTTAGAAAACTTAACGTTTTTTATCTGCCAATTTGTATATAGGGTGGCAAAAGTGTTCGAATCGTGGACTGTATTCTTGCTCTGAAGTCATTCAGTGAAAGTAAGAAAACAGGGAGGCAAGCTGCATGTAAATATGGTGGCATTTCAAAGCCTTTGGCTTCTGGAAAATATTTCATACTTAAGAATTCTGATGCTTTTATGAATAAGAATCGAGAATCCATTCAGAAGAGGCTACCCAGAATGGTTTTCCAGGAGAGCAAAAGTTATCTCCTGATTGTTCTCCAGAATCCTATGAGGTAGTAAGTGCAATGTAGCAAAATTTCTTATTTCACACTCAGTCATGACTTTTGTCTTGTTTTATAGACTACTTCAGACTCCCTTAGCACGGTTGTCCGCACAATTCTCTTAGATAAGAAACCAGAAGAAATCCCATTGGTAAGCATACTTTGCTTGAGTAGGTTGTTGATCTCTCTTTAGTATGTTTGATGAACATAAAGACTTAAAATTGCATTGCTAATTTGCAGATTGTTGAAACACTACTAAGCAAAGTTATTCAGGAATACGAACATCGCTTTGCAAATCAGAACTTGGTATGTCTTGTTTGATTACTGACATGAAAAATGCTCTTTCTATTATTCAGAAATCTATATTGTTTGATTTTCTTGGGTTGCAAACTATAGAAAAACTAGCTACTATCCATAAAGACTATTAACGTGGGAGGAAAAAAAGCAGTTGAAAGCATATGAAATCTTAAATGAACTGAATCATTTTCCATATGTGACATGCTACTGGAATCATACAACACTTCCACCTGTGATCATGTCAAAGCATATTGTTTTTATCCTCAATCTACAGAAATTGAATCGACATAGCCGACTATATCTTGTAATTAAGTTACTTCGTCCATGGAAGAACAGATTTCATATACTAATATTTGTCACTGCTTGTTGAATAAAATGAAGATGGATGAAGAGAAGCAAAATATCTTGACTACAAAGGAGGAGGTCAATTTTGCAGTAAATGGTAGTAATGCAGCTCAAAAGTTCCAACTAAAGGAAGAAATAAATTTTGATCTACAGCACAAACAGATCAAGGTATGCCTTTTTTCCCCATCATGAACTCATGATTTCATCTTGATTAAGAATCATGCCCATCGACCTTTCTTTAACATTTTTTTGTTTCCTAAAGGAGTTGAGAGGTACTGTTTCTTCTATCAAGTCTGGCATGGAACAACTGAAATGGCACTACTCTGAGGAGTTCACTAAACTTGGTAAATTAAAGTTGATCATTTTGCATTCACCCTCCAAAATTAGACCAATTGTTTGATAGCGTCTTCGTCACCATGTTGCAATAGGGAAGCATTTGTACACTCTATCCGATGCTGCTTCTGGATACCATAAAGTTCTTGAGGAAAATCGCAAGTTATACAACCAGATACAGGATCTTAAAGGTATAATTTTGTGCATTGAAGGAGCAGAAGGTACAGGATCATAGTCTACATTATATATAAATGCTGGTTTCTTTTGTCTCTAGGAAATATTAGAGTTTATTGTCGAGTCAGGCCTTTCCTTCCTGGGCAAATAAGTTCCTTAAGCAGTGTTGCTGGAATGGAAGAAAGAACCATTACAATAATGACTCCTACAAAATATGGAAAAGATGGAAGCAAATCTTTCACTTTCAACAAAGTCTTTGGTCCAGCAGCCACTCAAGGTTCTAACTAGTTCATATAGTGCATTTCATCTAAAAAAAACTTGGCATGACTTTAACAATGAATGTCATGCTTCTTTTTTGTTAATGCAGATGAGGTCTTTTCAGATATGCAACCATTGATACGTTCAGTTCTTGATGGTTTCAATGTCTGCATATTTGCGTATGGCCAAACAGGATCTGGGAAGACTTATACAATGGTAATAGGCTGTGCTAACAAATATAGTACGCTTGGAGTAATCCTTTTTCCTCAAAAGTTTGATCATTGTATGGTTGTTTTGCAGAGTGGACCTAAAGTTTTAACAGAGGAAAGCCTAGGTGTCAACTATAGAGCATTAAATGACTTATTTAATCTCCAAGCACAGAGAAAGGGGACAATAGATTATGATATTTCTGTACAGATGATCGAGATATACAATGAGCAAGTGAGAGATCTCCTTCAGGATACTGGAAACAGAAGATATCCTTTTGACTAGGACAAAATCTGGCTGTAGTGTTAACACTCCTTTGGTTCTGTTTGAGAAGTCCGTAAAAACTTCTTTGTTTTTCTCTTCTGATCTTAGTTTATTTGAGGGACATTTTGAATATCCTTGACATTGAGCTACATTAGAAATTAGAAATACATCACAGAAAGGACTTGCAGTTCCAGATGCAAGCATGGTTCCTGTCACATCTACGTCTGATGTTGTTGAACTGATGAATCAAGGCCAAAAGAATCGTGCAGTGGGTTCAACAGCCATAAATGACCGCAGTAGCCGCTCCCACAGGTTTGGCTTGGCATAATTCCTTCACATAGAGAAGTTCTTCACTTCATATTTTTACTTATTACTTTGGAATCCACATGCAGTTGTTTGACTGTTCATATGCAAGGAAGAGATTTGACATCTGGGACAGTTTTAAGAGGTTGCATGCATCTGGTGGATCTAGCAGGCAGTGAAAGGGTTGATAAGTCTGAGGTTGTTGGAGATAGACTAAAGGAGGCTCAGTACATAAACAAGTCACTTTCAGCACTGGGAGATGTGATTGCATCCCTTTCCCAAAAGAACACACATGTACCTTACCGAAACAGCAAGCTCACCCAGCTCTTGCAAGATTCACTAGGTAATATAGAAAAGTTAGCATCCTTACTTATCACTTCGGTAGTAGTGGAACCTGTCATGAACATTTTGTTGTTATATTCAGGAGGACAAGCAAAAACTCTTATGTTTGTTCACATAAGCCCAGAACTTGACGCTGTTGGTGAGACGATAAGCACCTTGAAATTTGCTGAACGTGTTGCCTCTGTTGAGCTTGGTGCAGCAAAACCAAATAAAGAAGGCAGCGAGATTAGAGAGCTCAAAGAACAGGTGTCTACACACTCCTTATGGCTTATTTCTATAAAAAAAAGGCTACAGATGACACTGCCATTTTGATTTACAAGTAAGTAATATTATTTTGGTCTTTTCAGATTGCTTTCCTCAAGGCTGCATTGGCTAAGAAGGAAGGAGAACCGGAGAACATTCTAAGCACACAGTCAAGCCCAAGCATATACAGAATTAGAAAAGGCAATGCAACACCTGCAGCTCCAATGGAAGAAGTTGGGAACCTAGAGGTGATTTTCCCAGTCTATTTCAGTTCTTTTTCTTGAAATTATTTCTTTTTCTATTTTAAAAAATAGGTTTACATGTGTTAGTTACTTAGTTATGATTCCAAATTTCAATAGGAAGAAAACTTGCTAAATATTTTGAAGAAATTAAGATATCTGTATGCCCATAATTTGAGAGTGGAAAATCAATTCTAACATAGAGCTATCTATGAAAACAAAGTCACCATTAAGTTGAAAACATTTCGGTACATGATCTGAACAGAAAGAAGTCTCAAATATTGGAGATGATACCACCAGTTGCTTTTAATCTTCTTGACATGATGAACTGTATTGTATATTTTATCAGAATTCTCTTTTGTGCTTGTAAAAGGTCCAGAATGTCTTCACTCCAGCTCAAAAGAGGTCAAAAATGCATTTGTCTGGCATCCTCACTGAGAACAACTCGTCTAACTCAGTTCAGAATTGCAATGGTCCTCAGAAGGAAATAGGATTAGGGGGTTGGGTTGACAAGATGGCTCTTGGAGACAACCACTTTGAGAATTCTAATTCCATCCTAGAGTTGGAGCCTGACACAGCACAGCTTCCAACTTCTTTCTATCAAATATACAGTCCTGTGCAACAAAGCTGTAGGACTGAATCAGTACCATCGGTGGGTCTACACGGCTTTGATTCTGCTACTAGCTGTTCCAACCAAGAGATTGGGATGTCAACCATGGGACTAAAAGCTTCTGGTATTGCCAATAGAGGCGCCTCAACTATAAAAAAGCCTGAAGCTACATCAATGAGGTGAGCGTGAGTTCACATGCTATTTTACACATGCATGTAATTATTCTGTGCAAATGATTAGCTTGTCCTACTGCATTTGAATTACTTAGGAGTACAAATCTGGCAAGCAAGTCTCCACTGTCGCAGAAAAAACTGCAAACACCAACCAGGAACAGGAACCAGCTAACTTTAAGCAGCATAGGTGGAAGAAGAACACCAAATGGAAAAATTGGCATTGCAAAGTAATCAATTAATGTGAAGGCTGATTTGCTGTGACCATGCTCATCTGGGTCAAGGTGAGATATCAGGAAGGCCAAAAGGAGTGCGTTTTTTTTAACCTCCACAAGGTTCAAGACCAATGATGTAAACTGATGCACATTCTGATAGGTAAAACATTTTATTTATTACATTAATTTTGGAAAGAGACACCAAAGAGGACAGAAAGATGATAAATATGAAGGAAATTCGAATTGAGATTTCTGTACATTTTCCACACTTAGAAAGTAATGTTGTATCGTGTGTCTATTAGCCATGACCATGACAGCATCAACTGAAAGTTGCTTGTAATAGACATGTGCCAAGTTTACAGCTTTCTCTGTCACATGTATGTTAGCCTTCCCCATAATGAATCGTCAATTACAGACTAATTATAACTTTATCACTGCATCTAGTAGAGTCACCCTTTTGAACAAAATAAACTGGGAAAGAGATGAAAAAACTATAAGCTCTGTACATTCTCCTGAATTCATAGATAATAACATAGATACTTGAAATCTTCAGCATGCAAATACTATAAACTGATAAAAGTAATGTACTAGCTCCTCTATGTACAGGTACCTAATTGTTCAACATAATCCATTCTACTTTAAGTTAAACAGATTTCTCTGGAGTGTCTATTTAACAATACTATAGAGTTCAATAACCAGATGGATCTTTGATCCTAAATTTTCTCTTTTACAAAATCTGTGGGTGCCTCTTAAGAGTGCTCATATTATCGGTACAAGCCTTGGCCTTGGTGGGTTGCAATGCGGACCCCTCCTTGAGGTCCTGGAGAGCCTCCCTACAGATGCTAACTTCAACGCAGCTCTGATCTTGACCCATTTGCGGGGTGAAAGTGGTGTAGATGCCCCTTCACTTTTTGAAATCTTGGAAATGAAGTTCTGTACGAGTTCATCGCATGAGTTTAAGTCAAAACTGTTTGTTCTTGATGGCTGGAACCCAGTGACAAATTGTTGTAACTGCATTGTTGTATGACCATGGCATTGCTGTTCAGAATGGTTGCTAAAACTGTCACCTGCAGATGCCATAGAAAGTATGTGAGCATCAATCTTTGTAAAATAGCTGTAGCAGAATATTTCAATGTACTTACTGTTTCTCGGAAGCTGGAATGAAGATTGCATCAAAGACATGATCACGTCCGTAGATGATAAACTGTCGACTGGAAGACCCTGCAGGCACAAAATGAGTTAGATTTGGCTCAGTCAAATATACGCAGTTGACACTGAATTCATCAGTTTCAATCAAATTAGATAAAAATGGCTTACACTGTATGATTCTTCAGAGAGTGCAGCACCCTGACCAACCAGAATGTTGTTTGGAATAACAGCAGGCGGACTAGCATCTGGACCAAAAAATGTTCCCTCAGAGTTTGGTATCTGCAACTGTGCAAGTCTTGGTCTGGGTAACAAGGCTCCTTTGCTTGAATCATATGGTAGAACTCTGTTTATTGTTTGCTCATGTCTTAACGGCATATAATTGGAACTTTGCCCCTGAACAAACCTAGATATATCAACCGGCACCTGTTTGCAGATTGATGACAGCAATATCTTAGATACCTGGTATACATGTTATTACTATTATCCGCATCTAAAGCACTACTTACATTACTGGCTCCAAGGGATGTGTTGAAAGTCTCCCTTGAAGGCCTTGATCCAAATCCTACTCCAGTTGAGCTTTCCCCCATATCTGGAAAAAGTTGATATCAATGATTACTTGACTAGATATGCAAAGTTATACTACAGTTGTGAATCAAATCTACAGAATTAGGCATTACCATAGTTGAGTATCTGCTGATTTGGATGAAGAGCACTAAACAGGGAAGTACCCTGCGCAGGGAAACTGCAGAGTACAGGGTAGTTGTTCACCATCTTGTAGTTAGGCTGCAAGCCATCTATATTCTGATAGGCTCCTTGCTTCAGGGCTTGCACTAAATTCTGTTGGTGAAAAGCACCAAAATAATTAGAATAATAAAGAGAAACTCTCCTGGTTTGAAGCAGATGAGGAGACCGCACCTTCTCTATTTCGTTAAGCTGGTCAATCGGCTTGTAACAATCACCGAACTTTGCCCCAACAAGCTGATATATCTCATCAAAGAAAAGACCCGCATCCTTGCCCTGAACTTCGTAAAGGTAAAGACTGTCGCCAACCTTGCACGTCATGGCATGCTCTATGATGGATTTCCATGTTGACTGTGGCATCTTGTTGAAAATCTAGATGTAGAAAAGTCAAAGATCTTGTATCAGTCCACCATGTTGAACATGTTTAAGAACATCAACTGGTATTTATTAATGGAAGAAATTTGTAGAGCCTTTACCTTTATAAGCTTCTGTTCATCCTTCATATAAGCCCGTAAGAACTCCTGCACCGAATGGATTCCATTATCGGACAAGGCCTGGTGGTAGGCACCAATTTTACCAATCTTTTTCAAACGCCACACTTCATCTTCCAGCATTGGAGGGTAGTGCTTTTCAAATCCTACAACAAAGGTCAGATGAATATGACGGTGTCAACTCTGACTCTGAGCTCCAAGCCTCCAACCAATACCAAGACTGCAGTTTCTGAAAAATATTGAATCTGAATGTTTGGCAAAAAAGGCATACCTTCCACCCTGCGCTCCTTCACACGAAAAGGCTTGGTGACGCCTTCAAGAACTCTCTCTCAGAAGAATTAACAAGCCTCAACCCCAGCCTAAACATCTTGGTGCTGGTGAAGCTGGAGTTATCGGTGAAGGTTGCATTCTCAAGGACAGCCTCGCCTCCATTGAGCTTCAGTGCCAGATTCCCAGTGAGAAGCTGGGCGCTCTTCTCTCGACCGGATACGATGTGCTTCTTGAACTCCTCAGGGCTCCAGGATTCCTCATTTTTAGCATTGAAGTTGCCATGGAGGACTACAACTTCAACCCTACTAGAAGAGAGAGGGCCGTATCTGACGATGTTAGGCCGACTGTTTTCAAGCCTTTCGACTATTGCCACCTTCAGTGCTGTTCCGTCGTCTGATTCTAGTTTTGTCATTGTGTACACGGGTTTCAGACCGTTTAAGAACATGAGCTGGTACCTCGGGTGCTGATTCCTGTCCACCAGTAATCTATAATTGGATAAAAGGAACAATTGAAATGATAGCAGCAGTGAAATATAAAATATCTAAGAAACAAATGGAAATTTATTTGTGCACTTAAATGGAACAACACAGTTTCGTTTAATGGAACTTGATTCATTAATATGAGGGGAAACTATATATGTCTTACCTTGGAGGTGCTGCTGGTGCACTGAATTGTCTGAACATTGCTTTCTCTACCTCCTCTGAGACCTGAAATAAGCAAATGTCAGAAGTCAGAACAGTGAAGAGTTCTAGGAGCAGTAGTTGTTAATACAAAAACAAGAACTCCACTGAGCTCATTCCTCTGAATACAGCAGACTATCAGCAAAAACTGAACTTCTCTTTGAGCTGAAACATTTGCACTAAAAGAGGCCCCTTCAACAAATCTCAACAGAGATTTTGCAATTTGTACCTAAAAGTACTAAAACAAACTATCGAAATCAACCAGGAAATAGCTAATAAAACACCCGTAAACAGCAAAATCAACCAGATCTGAAGAAAAGTAAACAAAAAAAAGTGCTTAGTCTGACCAAGTCCTCACCACTCTCTGAAGCATTGACCCAAAGACCGGGAGGAACATGCCCATGAACTCCGCCTCCATCATCCGTCTGAATCCAAACAACCCCTCCGTCGTCTTCCTCCTCGTTCTCGTAACCTGCCTGCAACCAACCAAGCAACCGTCCACGACGATTCCCCTCCTAATCAGCTCATAACGCCACAGAATCACTCAATCAAGAAGACCAAAACCAAACTCACAGCACAGACTGCCAGCGCCTGCGGGGCAGGGACAGCTCGCCGCCGGCAGCGTTGTCGGTTCCGGACCATTGGAGGCGCCTGCTGCTGGAGGAAGGCGGAGCCATTGGGGAAGACCGACGATGAACAAGAACAAAGCAGCGGGAGAGTCCAAGGGAGGGCGCTGATATAGAGGCCGGGCGAGAAGATGGCGGGAAAGTGGCAGGAACTAGCTGGGAACGTTCCTGCGCTTCACTGTTCCAGCCGGGCTGCCGGCCGGCTGCGAAGTCGCGCGTCTGAAATTTTCTGCGCGGTTGAGAAGACTCGGCAGTGTCAACGTTTTGTCCGTTCCCCTGTTCTTGGTTTTCGGCACTTAAGTCTTTGGTTGAACTGTCAAACTTGGTGTGGTTTGGAACTTTGGATGCCAAAAAGTACAGTTTGAGTTTCTGAAGAGAGGTTCAGAACTTCAGATAATGCACTTTTTTCAGAAAACAGAAATATTTGTCCGGCTGTTCTTGAGTTCGTTTCGCAAGTGTCAGGTCAGTGTCTTTGCTTGCAATAACACATTTACATTATTTTAGACAGTATACTATTAGGCATTTACATTTAGATCCGATAAATAAATAACTTAGCTTCCTGTCGTTGTCATTCAGTCCAAATTTTGCTGTCAAAGTAGTACTGGATTCATCAGAATCAGAACAATTACCAAGTCATTTTACTGTCATTGGTAGTTTAACTCAGAGTTAAATGCATGAGCGGTCCTCGAACTTGTCACGGGATGTCACTTAGGCCCCTGAACTTTGAAAATATATTTCTAGGTACCTAAACTTGTAAACTGATACACCATAGGTCCGTACTTGCCACGTGGGACATGGAGTTTGCCACGTGGCGGGCAAAATATGCACCGCACCCCTGAAACCCCATCCCCTCGACACGCAGTCCTGCAACCCTGCTCTGCCCATCGTCCCTTCTTCCTGGTGTCCGTCGAGGAGTCACAGGGCGGCTACGCGCCATCAACAACGCAACAAAGAACACCAGCCTTGCCGGCACGTGCGCCGTGGCATCCAGTTGACGGAGGAGCTCCACCTCCCCTCCATTGCCATGGTCGCTTTGCTGCGCTGCGTATCACCGCTACTATGACGATCGATACGTACTTGGTGAGCTCGGGGGATCCTAGAAGGGCGGGAGGTCCTGACTCGGTTCTTGACCACGAGGTGCGCACGCACGGCCTCGACGCTGTAGACCTCAACGAGGCGGGCGTCGAAGCAGAGGTTGTGCGTGCCGGCGGCGTCGCGATGCCAGCAGCCATGGTAGTCGAACATGGCATTGAAGGTGCCTGAGGGGATCTTGCCCGCCAGTGACAGCGACGTTCACCTGCTCCGCCATCTGGGCGAAGGGGAGCACGTCGGAGCAGAACCGTGCACGCTCGCCCTGGTCGGCAACAACCCTGGCCGACACGCCCGCCACGACGGCCCCGTCTGGGAGGGCCAGCACCGGAGCGTCGACCAGGCTTGGCGCGGCCCAGACGGAGGTCCTCCGCCGCGTCCTGCGCGATCATGCGCGCGCTCGAGGAGCCCCACATCATCGTCATCCATCGTCCGGTCCCCCTGCTTTGCCCCGTGCATGCAGGGCTTATAATGGACGGATCACGGAGCGCGAGGGGAAGGCCAACTCGAGATCCTCTGCGCCGCCCCGCCATGCTTCTCCGCATCGCGCTCGCGCCACACGCGGACCCCGGCGCCACCACGTTCCTCATCCTCACCTCCTTACTCTGCCTTGCCGGCCAGCCCTTCGCCTCCGCGGACATTCTCCGTGGGATGCCGCCGCCCCTCCTCCTCAACCCGGGACCGGCCGTGCCACTGCCGCATGGTCCTCGCTTCCCTCCTCCGCCGGGGCGCGTCAGGCCGGGACGTGCTCGGGTTCCTCAACGGCACGCGCTGTCGGGTGCTCGAGGACAGCAAGGCTTTCTTCCAGGTGCACGAAGGCGGAAGGCGCCGTGTACATCCACCAAGGCGTCAACTACTTGATGTAGCAGCTCGATCTCTCGTTGAGGATGGCTTACTGCACCAGAGTTGATGACATCAACAAGATCAACATCCTCCAACAAGACGAAGGCAATGGCTATGGTGATGAAACTGCATCATCATCATGGAGATCTAACGACGGAACGGGTGAGGCTTTGACCGGATCTGGAGATCGAACTGTTAGTTGATCTCCATCAATAGGCCCAACGGCTTATTGGGCCCTAGGATCCGTGCCCTGATTGGGGGCGTCCAACCCTAATATGGTTGGTGGCCCCCCGTCGCACAGCGCCATAAATAGGAGGTGGGGGCCGGGGCGCTCGAGTCACGAGGTTCGCCTGAGCCGCCTAGCACCCCACCTATAGTCCTAAACCCTAGCTGATCACAAAGGGGGCACTGCCAGCGACGGAAAGAGCAGCCACCACCTCTGCATCATGCTAGAGGACTGCTACGACGCTGGGCTGCCCTGCGGCGTCTACACCGACCCTAGGATGACACTGCCACTGCACTGCCAATGGGTTATCGCCAAGCATTGCGATGGCGAGCCCATCTTCCTCCAAGGCAGCCGATGGTTTGCACCATTCACCCCTCTCTTTCTCTCATTCTATCTACTGTTACTGCACTAGTAGATGTTTTAGGACTCATGGTTTATCCAAGTGCAAGTAGGCATGCTAGTTCTATGCCTAGAGATCCTGTTTTAGGTTCAACAATGGTATCAGAGACTCACTGGGTATAGATCTAGCCTATCAGAACCCTCTGTCTAGATGTAGATCATGTCAGGGGTAAGAAATAGATTAGATCCATTTAGATCTGAGAAGAGAAGAGGGTCACTGAACCCTAACCCTAATCAGGTGAAGAACAGAGAAAAGAAAGGGGTCTCGGCGCGAAACTGAACCCTAACCCACGAATCAAACTCAGGGAAGAAGAACAGTGAACGAAACCTTGACCCTAACCAAACCCTAATTTTCATCCTAACCCCATCCCCAACCCTAAATTGGATAGATCCGAGAAGAAAAGAAAGGAAAATCAAATCAGAGAAGAAAAGGGGAAGGGGAAGAGGCCTACCTCGCCGCCGCACCATGCTGCCGCCACGTCAGCACGCGGGCAGGTGCTCTAGCCAAGGGCGCCACGGCCAGGCCGCTCGACAGCGGTACGCTCACCCGCTGGGGAGCGCGCGTACCGACGAGAGGGCCGGCGACGGCGCCGTCATCGTCTCACTCTGTGCCGTCGCGGGACTTAGACAGAGAAGGAGGAGAAGTGGCCGAGTCAGATCTAGGGTTTTCAGAGGGGATCAGGGCACCGTCGCCTAGACCGCTCGACGGCGACATGCTCACCCGCTGGGGAGCACGCACGCTGGCGAGGGGACCGGCGACGGCGCCATCTTCGCGCTTACTTTCGCTCGGCTGCTCTCTGCTGCTGCGCTGAGGAGAGAACAAAGCGAGGCGAAGAGAGAGAGAAAGGGCAGTAGAGAATGGGCTAGGGTTTCACCGGGGTCGCCGCGGCGCCGGCTTTTATATCGACTGAACCGCGCGCGCGACTATCGGATCTGGATGAACGAATCAGATTCACTACACCGAGTTTTGGCCCAGGCGGGCGCGCGTGGCTGCCGTCTTTGCCGGCCCAGGCCCAGGTAGCGGCCTAGGAAGCACAGCGCGCGCAAGAACAGAAACAGACCGGGCCAGAATTCACTGTTTCAGCTGGTTTGGGCCACATGAACAGTGTTTTTACGAGTTTAGTTTTTTTTAGAAGCAATTTTTGATGATATTTGTCTAGTTTAATGTCTCTGTTAAAATTGAAACCAACGGGATATTTTTCAGAGAATAGTTGAGAAAAGTTAATGCTTCTGAAAAATAGATAATGAATTTTTTCATGTTTCCGCTGCATTGTTAAAGTTAATGATCTTCTAATTAAATTCGAACCAACGAGAGAATTTAATTTGAAGAGTAGTCAATTTTAATCAGTAAATTATAATATTGTTATTTTTCTGACCAACGTTGATAATAGCAATATTATAAGGTTTAATCATAAGTTTTCTATGCATTAATTCTATTTCTGTCCAACGGTGATGTAGAATTAGTGTATAAAAATATTGTATGTTTTAATTTTGACCAACATTAAATTAAAGCATTCAATTATAATGATATATTTTTTTCTCACTATCTCTGACGATGTTTTTTAGCTCAACCTAATGGCATTCATCTCGCACATACCACCTCTAGAAGGGGGCAATTACAGGGTATGGCGAGAGAAGTATGAGCTTGCACTTGCGCTGTCCGAGAATGACTTAGCGCTCACCTTCCCGTGTCCTACTGAGCCAGTGGACCCGGTGAGGGAAGAAAATGAGTCGGATGCTGATTTTACTGCTCGGCAGCGAGATCATGCAGAAGTACACATGAAGTATGATCTCGAGCGCAAGAAGTGGGACATCTCGAACCGCAAGTGCTTGACGGTGGCCAAGTCCACTGTTTCAGATGCTATAAGGGGTCTATCCCAGACTGTGATACCGCCATTGAGTACCTTAAAAAGGTGGAGAGTCAGTTCATTGGCTCTTCCAAGGCTTATGCTAGTACATTGATCAAGAAATTGTTCAATGAGAAATATACTAGTGGCGGTATCAGAGAGCACATTTTAAAGATGAGCAACACGGCTTCGAAGCTGAAGCCAATGAATTTGGGGCTCAAGGATGAGTTCCTAATTCATTTGGTTTTTGCTTCATTGCCAAAGGAATATAAAACCTTTGTTGTTAACTACAACATGCAGCCCGACAAGTGGGACATAGAAAAGCTCATCACAATATGTGTTCAAGAAGAGGAAAGGCTGAAGTCCTTACAGAGTGACTCTGCTAACGTTGTGAAGGACAAGAAAAAGAACTTCAATAAGAATGCCAAACCTCAAGGAAAAGCCCCTCAGACTGAGCACCTTCAGAAAAACTCCAATGCTCAAGTTGAGAAGGATCAGTGCAAATGGTGCAAGAAGCATGGACACTACCAAAGGGATTGTCTAGATTTTCTGAAGAGCCTGCTGAAGAGAGGTGATGATTTCATTACATTCATAGATGAATCCTTGTATTTATGTTATGCAAAATCTACTTGGTGGATTGATTCAGGTGCAACTGTTCATGTTGCAAATTTATTACAGGGATTCCGTACGAGGAGGACACTGTAAAGAGGAGAAAGAAGAATTAAAGTAGCAAATGGAGTTGAAGCTCAAGTTGAAGCCATTGGAGATCTTTTTCTAGAATTAGTTGATGGTTTTCTACTTAAGCTTTCTATTTGTGCCCTCTTTGCGAAGAAACTTAATAAGTGTGTCACGTTTAGATAACGATGGATATGCTTGCTATTTTGGTAATGGCAAATGTCAGATTGTTTATAATAATAAATTTGTTGGTTTTGCCTTCTGATAAGACAAGCTTTATTTATTATCACTTTCTGAGAATGTGAATGATGTAAGTACTGAGAATGAGAATGCTTCCTCATCTATGAATGCAACAAATAAGTGGAAGAGAATACATGATGTATCTTCAAAATTATGGCACTGTCGTTTAGGCCATATTTCGAGGAAGAGAATAGAGCGATTGATTAAGAAATCAATTCTTCCGCCCTTAGAATTTTCAGATTTAGAACAATGCATAGATTGTATAAAAGGAAAGTATGTTAATAAAATAAAGAAAGATGTCAAACAAAGTACAGGAATTTTAGAAATAATCCACACAGACATCTGTGGTTCTTTTCCTATGAAGAGTGTGGATGGTTATTTTTCAGTTATAACATTCATAGATGACTATTCTCGTTTTGACTATATTTATCCAATTAAAGAAAGATCGGAAGCTTTGGATAAATTTAAAATATTCAAGGTTGAAGTAGAGAATCAGCACAACTTAAAGATTAAGGTAGTAAGGTCTGACCATGGGGGAGAGTACTACAGTCGACACACCCGATATGGCCAAGTTCCTGGACCCTTTGCAAGGTACTTACAAGGAAATGGTATAGTAGCCCAGTATTCTACACCGGGCGAGCCTCAGCAGAATAGAGTAGCTGAAAGACGCAACTGTACCTTAATGGATATGGTGAGAAGCATGATAAGTTACTCTACCTTATCGATAAGTTTGTAGATGAAGGCGTTAAAAACCGCCATTCATATTCTTAATCGAGTGCCAAGTAAGTCGGTGCCCAAGACACCGTATGAGTTGTGGACAGGAAAGGAACCCTCACTAAACTATTTATGCGTATGGGGTTGCCATGCTGAGGCAAAAGTATTTAACCCAAACATAGGGAAGTTGGACTTCAAGACAGTCAGTTGCCATTTCATTGGCTATCCAGAAAAGTCTAAAGGTTATCGCTTCTATTGTCCTGACAGACAAACGAA